TTTCACACACTGCTGCAAATACTCCTCCTAGTGCTTGCCCGCTCACAACAGCTGATATGTATTGCGCTGGAAATCTGCCGCTTATGCCAAAAGGCCACCGGACATTATAGCACTGGCACCTGAAAAATGAAATTGTAGATTTTTTTGAATTATTAAAATTACATAACTAAAGCATCATGGCAGCATCTAAAATATTTTAAAGCACATTTTTTAAATTAATTTGTTTGAACATGAACAACCCATGCATATTGTACGCATATATTATTATATGCATTAGTTTATTTAATTAATCAGTTATTTTCAAGAGTTTACATAATTATTTTGTTTATAAAAACTTTTAATTTATTTTAACTTACAATTCATAAAAACTACGCTCAGCATAGTCAAAATAAAGAAATTCTCTTGCCAACTATCAGTGTTAATTTTACTAACGCAGTCGTAATAATAAATAATGTTGTCATAATTATTAAAGATCCATGCATTCGTAAATGTAATGATATTCTGGAAATAAAAGTAATAATTATTTTTATATTATAGTACAGATAATGTTTATTATATTTTACCTATGGCAAACCATGGCATTTATTACTAAAAATACAGTATTCGGAATGGAGGAAGCTACAGTCAAATATGCTGTAAATCCCACTTGTAATGCTGTCCGGTTAAAAGTATTATTTTGTGATACATCTCTAAATTTGTACATCCAATACTATAATAAAAATCCATAAAATATTTTTAATATTAGTATAATGTATTAAGTATGTTATAGGTATAATTATGATCTAATACTAGCCTCATTTGCTGTAACATAAAAGCACCATGGTAATAAAGTTGTCATACCAAGTAAATAAAATATAAAATACGATACATTGTATTTATCAGGGGGTAAAATAGTTTTTAAGAATGTCTTTCTATTATTATGGGGTTGGACTATAATATGGTCCTCATTTTGTTCATGTTCTATGTCATTGTCGTTTTCGTTAAAATCACTATCACTATCTTCTAATAAAGGTCGTCTATTTATTTCACTTTCCATTACTATAAAATTAGAAAAAAATAATAATAAATAATTTAAAAATGCTTAAGATACATCTTGCATCTTTATGGTAGCAAAAGGACTGTCAATTTGACAGCTAGGCTGGGCTCGTAAACACTGCCAAACACCATCTGTTGATCTCTATCTTTGTGTTATCATTACGCGCTTCAGTGATGGACAAACTGCGGTCGATGATTTCCGCCTATGAATCATTGATTCAAATAAATAAATAAACTAGTTGGTGTTGGTGTAATCAAATTAATCATAAAATATAAATTAATTTATATTCGATGAATTTTTAAAATTAAGAATTGAAATATTACGTATGGCCGTAATATTTCAGTAAGTTCTATAAGACCATGATATATATCGCCAAAAAAGTTCGTCTTAATTTTTTTTTCAACAGTTAATTGCAAGAAAACGGCTCGATAGAATTTCACCTAAAACTAATCAGTATCATTCCCAACTAATATCTTTCGAACTGTTATTAATTTTTTTTGGTATTTCGATTTTTTTGAATTCGCTGGTATGAGCTTAAACGCGGACGAAAAGTTTAACACTTTTGTCCAAATTACAAAGAAACGGTTTGACAGATCGTCGCACAAAACTGACAAACAATAGTCCTTATCGAGATACATCGAATGGCTTTTAAATTTATGAAATAGGTCCAGACGTTTTTGAAAAAACGTCGATTTGCGGCAAAATATCTGTTCACATACACGCACACACACATACACCTTGCACATACTTTTTCCAAATTTGTTCTCATTCGATTCAGAATGGCTTGAAACGTCGAGAAAACATAAAATTCTCTTTCGGGAAGTTGAAAAATTGGAATGAATATATTATTATTTAGATTAATTTTATACATATATAAACATATTTATTCATATATCTACATAATATAATAGAAATATACAAGCAAAAAATGCATAAAAAACGTATTTTGTTTATTATACATTAGTTTTTACACCTCTAAAAGCACCAGTGTAATTGCAGGATTAATTATGGCTTTGAAAATAAAAATCCTCTAATTATTATATGAGATTTTGGGATTGATAGAGATTAATCTAAAATAAATTTCTTTAACCTAGTTCACATAGAGCTGTAACAATCATAGTTATCTGACAAGCAAGTTTGGATGATTTTCGAGACAGCTTTTGCACTTCTCTGAAGGAGTTTGTATTTCACATGTTATAGACATGTAATTCAATAATAAATTATTATTTAATAATAATTAATTATTCTCAATAAATGTATCATCAATTGTTTTCTATATTGCACTCTAGTTTAAGCCAAAACTCTTACCCTTTCTACGTTATACAAATTATTTTAATAAATTATAATTTACAGTATCTAGAACAGAGGTCATTTCAAGTGTTTACCGGATTTTATTATATATATATATATATATATATATATATATATATATGAAAATATCAAATATATACATATTTTATTATATATGACTCTTAGTCAAAAAATATCATCAGTATAGTTTTCATAAGCACAAACACAGTTTTGATAGCAGTATATCTGATAATAATATTATAAATATTATACTATAGCACTAATAAATTGATGCATACAATAAGAATATTCATAAAGTCAAATAAACCTATATTACTCATGTTATTTGTATATCACGTCACTACCCACGATCATCATCGTTTTAGAATTATTATGTGATTTCATTATTTCAATGCGGGTATATTTTTCTCAAAATCATAATTTGTTAAGAATGAATTATCTTCATTTATGAATATGTTCGAGAAAAACTTGTATCTTTTGAGTTAATATTTTTAAATCAACCGAGCTCAAATTTTACTATATTTAGAAAGTAAAAGTCTTTTGAACTACATTGTATTTATGGTGTGATGGTGTAATCTACATCGAAATCAAAACAAATTCCGTAAATACCGAAATCGAAAATACAATATGATAATTTTTGTCTTGGTCATTGTTCTAAATTCAATGCCAAGTTTTATGTTTTCTTCTTTAATTTCCATTACGACAATGGAAAATTTTACTACTACTTGAATAATTGAGACATAATAGATATAAAAATGACAAGAATTTTATTGCAAAGGGGAAAAAATTATGATGTACTTTTTTATTTTGTATATACACATATTATGAATTTTTATTTAAATTTTGTTATGTATAGCAATTATTAATTTCTTGAAGGAGTTAATGATGTTGCCAGAAAATCCGAATTTTATCGTCACAACATTTTAAGCCATTCTGAATCTTTTGAAAGCAAAATTGGAAAAAGTATGTGTTTGTCTTTCGTCAGTCGAACAATATTTTAATAAATTCTGTGAATGACTTTCAGTTTTATTCTTATTCAAAAATGGTTGCTCAAGTATACTCTAATATCACATGATAGAAAGTACAATAAGTATATTTCAGAAAACCTATTATTCAAATATGCTGCTTATAATGTATTTCCATTCTTTTCAAATGATTTCTTCATTTTTATGAATAGAAAAATGAAACTGTGGCATTACAGAATTACGGAAAATGTACTGCAAATGAAATATAATCGCATTTATAAACATTAAATTTATAAAATATTGTAAATGTGAATTTATAATAGATACTCAATTTTAAATTAGGTGCATGATTTCAAACTTTTCTTCGCTTCGTTTTTTACGTGTATTATCTGATCTTTTGCGATTCTGTTTACGTACTTGGCATATGGAACTAATTACTACCGAGATTTTTTCACAAATCATGTAATGTGCAAATCTCGGTTTCACACTCTCGTCTTGCATATGCTGACTTATAATTATTATACTGCATTGGAAAAACACACACCTGTTTCATAGTCCAAGGCACACAACTCCAATTATAATGATCAAACTGCTTATAGAAATACAAAAGTTGAATTAGATTCATAGTATTTTTGTGTGTTGTCTTTAATAGACTATTTTATTTTGTTTGAAAAATATTAACACAAAATGTTTTTTTGACAATAACAAATTATTAGTTTATAATTTCTTCAGTACTTGAGTTCCCAGTTGTAATCTATTTATTTACCTTAGTACTATATATTATATATTGTGTTCAATATTTACGAATTTAAGGTAATATTTGACAATATATGTATAACAATGTTATAATTTTTGCAAAATAATTGCAATAATATTTTTCTCATGAAGTTATTAATTAAAATAACATGCAATGCTCATTGTATTTATATTAGATTGGATGATTGGAAGTTGTTCAACATATGAATCATTCAATATCTGTTTTCAATTCGTTACTTATTTATATCTGCGAATCATCTTATTATAACGAATGATTCAATCATAATAAAAATGATTCACATAATTCATTGTTTTTATTTTATAGTTTTGCATCCTTGCTCTATTTTTCCGCGGTAAGAGATCTAGGACAATGCTTATCTTTTCTGACCCATGAGGTCTTTGATTCAAATTTTTCTAAAGCAATCTTATAGAGGAAACAGCGCAGATAGTACAGCAACTTTTGCGCTAAATAATATTTTATGATCATATATATATATATTATTCATTCCGTGTTATGTTGTGACCAAAAAACCTTGTAGATACTGCACATTCACAAATGCTTAAATCATGGTTATGCATGACAAGTTTTTATTTATTTGGTGGTTTGAAATATTATTGATAATAAGTTTTTTTGCAATGTCATTATCAGAAAACCATAAGATTTAAAACAATTATTTTAAAATTATATCATTTCGTATTTCAACAAATAAACAGATTAATATCACATTTTGATTATACACATATAATCGTATTTTATAATGCAATACTTAGTAACATTTAAAAGATTAAGTGTTTTTTTATTAAATTTGACTTTCGCCATTAGTTAAATTGAAAATTAAATTGAATGAGAAATAAGAGAAATTCTTCTAACCTTATAATAAGAACTAACAATTCTAACATCATAACAACAATAAAGATATAAAATTGCCAAAAACATTAGAGCAAATTTATTTTAGTTCACTGACATAAAAATTCTTCACAAAAACATCCACTAATAAATTTAATTATTTAACTCAATTGGTTTTCAAGTAATAATAATTTCTGCTGTATAAAAATGCCTTGTAAAAAGAAATTCTTCTAACCTTCATAATAAGTGCTTATAATTCTAACTTCAAAACGACAATAAAATAATAACATTACCAAAAAATATTAAAGCAAATTTATTTAGTTCACTGACATTAAACATTTTTACAAAAATATCCACTAATAAATTTAATAATTATTCTCAATTCGTTACATTAATAATAATTCCTGCTGCTATGACAATATTTCAGGAGCACTACTAAGGAGCAGTACTTAAGCAATATTAATTTATGCTTTTTGCATTATCTAATTTCTAATTTGTATGCTCAATGCTATGCCAGCATTTTTTCCATGAATTTTTGATGAAAATTGTCTTTTTGATCTCACATAAAAAAAACTTGATAATGATTTAGAGTTTTTCTCAAATTATTTTTAAGCATTTAATTTTATCTCGCAAAGTTATAATTAGTGTTTCTTTCTAGATATATATTTCACCATGAAGTTAGCAAAAAAATATGGATGGTTAATGTTTCTTCTATTCCAAACTGTTTCGGCAAAAAATATATTATTCCTCCTCGGGATGCCTTCTAGAAGCAATCACATTTGGAATCGATCTCTGATGCGATCGCTGGTCAAAGAAGGACACAATGTAACAGCATTGAGTGTGGAAACAGATAAACCTTCAAAAAATCTGCATTATATACCTTTAGATGGTGTAAATGAAAAAATACAACAAATGTATAATAATGTCGACTACGAATCCATATCGGATTATATGCAATTAATTAATATTTTGGCAATGTACGAGTTCTTCAATTTGGTTTGTAAAACAGCATTGCAGTCTGAAGGAGTGAAAGTGTTGTTAAATTATCCAAGGGATTCATTTGACCTAGTGATACATGATTATACATGTGGACAATGTCTCTTGGGATTTGTTAATTATTTTAATAACCCGCCCCTGATATCCGTAAGTAGTAATTAATATATTATAACTAGCAAACCCGACAAACTCCGTTTCGCCACAATTTTTTGTTTGTTTTATATTTGAAAAGGAAAAATGTGATTTTATTATACAACAGTAATGAATTTGTTTGGATTACAAAAATGAAGTGTTTTTTAGTTGAACTTCTCTAAGTAAATAAAAGTGAATCCGCAAATTATCCGTTTTATTGAAGTGCTCTTTGGTAAACCACATTTTTTGTTTTTTGGTCTGACGTTAACACAAACAAAGCGGATGGATTTCCAACTCGTGAACAGGCAACGTATAACTGCCCATGTGAAAAACAATGATTTTCTAAATAATCTATTTGAAATTTATCCCGCAAACACTAAGCGATTGGCCTTGCGACTTGTTATTGCAAACGCAAGGCGAACTGGAAATTGCAATCGTTTGAAGTCAAACGGAAGACCAGTCGGAATCATTGGTATGTCACCAAATTGCCAGCAATTTTTGATTGAACGGTGAAATTCAGTGCGTGTACATCATTATTCTTTGCGGCAAGAATTGCTCGTTGACTTAACCAAGCATAATTCTGATAATTCTCACTAATGTAATTACTCGAATTTTTAATTACGGTGAGTGAAGTTACAGTAGCTTGCATTAAGGCACGATGTCATGCACAATTAATTTTCTTAGCTATAAACCTTGCGGAGCCCGAGACCTTTCCAACGAATGCAAAATTGTCGTAATCGGTTCGTGCGTTCTGGAGTTATTTCGTCAGGACAAAAAACCCGACTTATTTTTATATATATAGAAGATTATATGTGATCAACTCGAGTATTCTATCAATATTTTCGAAAATGAAATTTATGTTGCGATATATGCAAATAATCTAAACCTTTATATTATTTCTTTATTATTGAATTAAACTGAAGTGGTTTCACACCATGTTAATGACAAGGAAATTTTGCAATTGTCCATAATCCAAAATTTTAATGATTTTGAGATTTTTTAATCATAATTTGTTGCACAAGTATATAGACTGTTGAGAAACACTATTTTAGATTGAACCAGTTTATATTTGAGTAATCAAATAGGCGGTTTTACTGGGAAATTCTGCAAATTTTGATTTATTAGATATATGGATGCATTAATATTACTATTGGAAGTGATAGTTGCATAATACTTACTTAATTTACTTATTATAAAGAATAATTTTTTATTAAATATTGAATTTTATATTTTGAAATTAAATTTATATTATTTTGAAAAAAAAAACGCCAGAAATATACCAGAAGAACCTCGATTATCCGGACCTCGGTTATATGGATTCGCGATTATCCGGACTACCAACCGCGACAGAGTTATATGTATGTACATACTTTTACAATTCATCAATTTTTGCACGATTTATGTTGCGGTTTAGTGTATGTATGTACATACATAAGGAAATGTTAATTTGTTATTAAACATTGATTTTCGTTCAAATCTATGTATGTATTTGTTATTTTTGATAAATATACATCATTATTCTTCATACATTGAATTATCCGGATTTTCGATTATCCGGATGCCTACCGACAGCAATTAGTCCGGTTAATCGAGCTTCTACTGTATGTTTTAAATGATGCATATTTCTGTTTTATGACTTTTAATTAATCTCATTTATAATTCCTGTTCTAATTATCGATTCCCACAGATAACTCCTTTAAGTACGCCAACTTATACCCTTTTTGTATCAGGAAATACTCATTTTCCGTCTTATATGGTTCATCCTTCTTCCAAATATGATGGACCGATGACATTTGTTCAAAGAGCGGTCAACTTATTCTTGCACGCAGCCGAATGGATGTACAGGTAATAAGACACATGCTAGATTATGCATGATTAACATACATTTGCTTCTTCTCTATTTTATATACTAATTTATTTAGCAAATTTTAACCGATCAATGGCACTTGATTTTGACTAATTCATTACGATGTATCTATTAACATTTAATTTACGTAGTATTGATTGACTTTATTTTTTTTTTATTTTAAAGCATGTGTGTGAATAATAATTAACAATAAATAAATTTGATTATCATATCATTTATCTTACCATTTTAACAATTCTGTCATATTTATACAGTGATGCCTCGCATAAAGAGATTCATTTATCTAGCATCAAGCCTCCGTTATTTAGCACGCTTTTTGTTTTTATAGTAATAATACATGTTAATAGAATTAGTTTGATTTGTAGTATTGATTATGACTACCTAAAATAAAATAATTACAAAAATACTCATGTATGATATAAATAACTTATTAGCTCTGTTTAAAAGCGTGATCTTGATCTCTTCATTGCTATATATTTTAGCTTCTTAATTCTTTTTTAAGCTTTAATATTTTAATAGCTTTTCTTTCTTCTTCAAGATCATTAGCAATTGTTCATCTTATTTACCTTATCACTTTTTCTTTATTGATTAAAGGGTCTTTTATGGCGGCACTATAAGTCAGCTAACTCTCTCTTCATCGGTTTTTGATAATACTCTTCAAAAAATTTCTATATGCTTTTGGGATCTAAAGGTGAATAATCCAATAATAAAAGTTTCTTTAAGGGTTAGCTTTTACTTCAACAAGTACCTATATTTTAACAGCAGGAACAAAATTCTTCAACTTCCACTTTTGAAATATAACGATTAAACCTATTTTTTTCCTAAATAACAATAGTATACTACGTTATTTAGTGCGAAAAATCACTGTATTTTCATTGCAATTTTCATATAGAATAAAATGAAATGTATAAGTTGATAGGATAGTATTTATTATGATTATCGAAAGCAAGTACCCAAATGCAAATTTGCACTCAGCCAAGCATTGCAAAATATGTCTTTACGATGATTCGAATTAATTAACGCTAATTCATAGATCTTTAATAATCTTGATATTTTTATTTTGTGGGAAGCAAATCTCAAAATATTATTAATTCACCTTTTATTCTTTTTAAAATTATAGAGTTTTGTTTATAATATTACATATATTACAAGTTTCATTTATCATATGTATACCATGGCTGTATAATTTGTTTTACTACTGAAGATATTTTTTTACAATCGACATTAAGGTGCATTCAAACGAAACAATATGTTATATCTATCTATAATAATAAAATTTCTTGTATTTAGGACGTTCGTGTTTATGAGACATGAAAATTTGAGAGCAAGAGAATTTTTTGGCGAATATATAGTCAAAAATTTAGAATCTATCGAGCAAAACACTAGTGTTGTATTCACAAATTCTGATCCAAATTTGGACATGTCTCATCCGTTGATGCCTAATATTATACCACTCGCTGGTTTGCATATCCAGAAACCATCTATAAAAAATATTCCAGAGGTCAGTATTAAATTGAGTTTTATTTCTTAAAGTAACCACGAAAAATAAGAATTTGATAATTTAAACTTGGCGAGGTTTGAAAAACGATAATGGGCATGATCATGTGATTTGCCTCGAGGCTCAATCAGTTTTCATAAGACATATGAATAATTCATCAAAGCATACGTTTTATTTTAATAATTAGAAACTCTAGTCGTTTTAATTTTTTTAGGAGTAAAATAGAAAATGTTGGCAATAATTTTATTCGCCATTTAATTAATTAAAAAATAACACTGTACAACAAGTGTTCTAATAATCAAAATAACGCATGCGTTTGTTTTTAACTAATCAAAATTATTTGTCATATTTATTTTTTTTTCTATTTTGAACTCAATGATAATATATTTGCGCCTATCTAATACGGAACACGGAAATAAATTAAAATATTATGTACACTCTATTTCCGATAAAATGCTGTGATAACAATTGATATAATTTTGTAAAATTATATATGTAATTCCTGTATATTACATATTGCCCATAAGTTCGACATAAATTTAATAAAATATTATAAATTCATTGTGATAACAAAAATTATGAATTTAACACAAATATCTAAAATAAGAAATATTTTAGTATTTATTAAAACCGCATTTATTGGAAACATTTAATTAAGCATTACAATCTATAGCAGTCAAAATGTCAAGAAATTATTTGAGAATATATACTGCTGCAATAATCAGTTATATATGCTATCAGCATTTTTATTACCATAATTTGTAATACAATGTTAATTGTATGTCGGCTAAAATAGATAATTTTAATTAAACAATAATATTATTATAATGACTTTCAATATATAGCATATTTAAGATAAACGTGTTTGCATAACATTGTTCTTGTTATTACAGAAAATTCTTAAATTTTTGAATGAATCTTCAAATGGTGCCGTTTTATTCAGTTTGGGAAATGGAATACGAAGTGAGCTTATGAGCGAAGAAAAGATTGAAATGTTTTTAGATGCTTTTGGAAAATTATCTGAATATAGATTTGTTTGGAAATTTGGAAACGAAAGTCTTATTAAAAAGCTGCCTACTAATGTGATAATACATAAATGGATACCGCAAAATGATATTTTAGGTATATAATATGCTATTATTTCAATGATATCTTTGCTGATTATTTTAATATTTCTGAATCTTTTTTTTATCTGCATGTTATAGTTTGGCATAGCTTGTAATATACATGTTTTAGATAAAACTTTTATATGAAAAATTTGAAACTTTTATATAAGCGACTATTTGTTGAGACTATGAACTTAACGCTATGCAAGTTTCATTAAATTTATCAGATTTTTTTCATAATTTATTACGAAGAAACAAATTGGTAAAACTCAGCACTATTTTTAAATATCAACTAAACAGGTTTTAAGTTTTATCTTCTAATTAACAAATAAAGACTGGGCCGATCGCCGAGCAAAGCTAACCAAGAACATTATATACTCAGTTTAAAAAAAAAAAATACATAGTTTAAATGAACTCATTAATTCAAAATTATATTTGATTTATATGTTCTAAATATAAAACAAATAAAGTAACTAAATTTTGAAACAGCTCATAGAAATGTGCGTTTGTTCATCTCACATGCTGGTCTTCTGAGTATTCAAGAAGCGGTTTATAATGCTGTGCCAATTCTGGGATTACCATTCTTTGCAGATCAGCATAAAAATATTCATAAAACTAGCCGAGATAATGTCTCATTAACACTGGATTACAATACTATTACGAGTGAAGTATTGCAAACAAAAATTCGGCAAATGCTGACAGACAGCAGGTTAGTTATGTATAAAAGATAGAATATTGAAAGTATAGAAAAGTATAGAAAATATAATACTTAAATAAAAATTATAGAAATTAAAAAATAAATATAGATCTTCAGCGTTACAAAGTTAAGTATATGTACAGCTGATTGTTTGACTAAACACTGTATGAATTTCGACTAAAAAATTTAGTAGCATAGAACTTAAATTTCGCATACTTCACATGCAAAACTGTGCATTCAATTGGTAATAGATACACTTTTCATGAAATAAGTTTGGAGGTGGTTTATTTTTAAGCCTTTTATGTATTCTTTTGGATTTGCTGTTGATTGTCCGGTTTTTAAAAATACTATAATGAGATTAGGTATTCTTGCTAATTATTATTTACTATTTAGCTAATTTTTAATGCATTTGAAGTGACCATTTGTGTACTGAAGTACTACTTCATTCACAGGGTTTAGAATATTTTTATCAGATTGTTAACTAATTTTATTTTAATAATATTTATATCTTAAGTAATTACTTCAATAATGTTTATTCAATTCGGTTTATTTGACAATGGCTAATCAAATTAAGTGCTTTAAAAATAAATCGTACATAAATATCATATACAAAATTATCGTGATTGCCTGTTAACAATAGAGCTAATCCAAACTAATTCAAAAATTCAAAAAAAATTGAAATTCGATTTTTTTTATTTTTACGTTTCATCTGCATTTTGTATTTCATTTATTAAGCGTTGCATCATATAAAAAGATATAAAAAAGATATAGATATATAAAAGATATGTCCCGTGCTCGAGGTCCAAATCAATTTTCTCTGTATGTTTTCTACCCATAAGATTATACAATATATACACAATTGTTAATTAATTGCTCCAAGAGTAATTTTATAAGAGCGTTTTCCATTAGTTTTCAGAGAAACATGGGGAAACTTTCCGCACGTTTCCACGACAACTTGAACACACCTGTAGAAAGGGCTTTCCACTGGGTGAGCTACGTCTTGAAACACGATGGTGCCCTTCACATGCGAAGCCCTTCTGTTGGAATGTCATTGAAGAAATTGCTGATGTTCGATGTGTTATCCTTACTAGTTTTGGTCGTATTAATTATCGCTTTCATAGTATACCGAATAATTAGATTTCTCGGCATTGGACAAAGACCAAAAAGAAAACGCGATTGATTTCATGAATTAGGCATTATTTGAAACACCGGCGTGTAATTTTAAATTTTAACTCGCTTTCATTGGTTTTACGTATTGATTATATTAAAATACTTCAATTAAAGGACGACGTTGTCGCGAACAATCAGATATGCCATAGTTCAATGTGCTTGCATATATTTATTTTCAAAATTACAATGAATTCATGACCGTTTAAAAATTTCTTGCAGTAACCCTGAATGAAAGAACTTTCATTTACAATCGTTACGACAATATTTTATAGATGTATTTAACATTTAAATATGATTTTTTTTAATGTGAATTGTCTAATCAGATATGTATATAAATATATATATATATATACATATATATATATATATACGTATATATATGTTAAAACCAAAAAATAGTACTTTTTATATGGATATTGATCTAACTGCGTGAAAACCGTAATGTGTTATAATGTGATTCATTCCAATAAGAAATTGTAATAAATAATAAAGAAATATTATAAGAAAGAAACATATTTATTTCAAAAAGTCGACATTACAAAAATATTTATGAAAGAAAAATTAAATAATAGTTAACTCTATCTTTGCTTAATTCGATTTTATGACATTGGTAAGAGATTTCGCAAAAGCCGCTTTCAATCCCGTTAATTTAATATATATTATTATTAATATTTTGAATAACTAATAAAATGCTGTCTTGAAGTGATCTGCAAAAGAAATAAACAGAAATTGAATTATAATTATAATTTTTAGAATTATATATGAGGTTAACCGATAAAACATGCCGAAAAGGTTTACCAAAAAGCCATTAACCTGACCTTTGGAGAGATCGTAGCAAAATAAAATGTGATAGAATAAAATTTTCCAATATAAGTATAATGTCACAACGGAAAATGTAATTTTCTACCTCTTTCAACTTACTTGAAAGTTTCAGTTATTGAATAACAGTTTATATATTAATACTTTTCAATATTTTTTATAATGAATTCAATGATTAAGAATTATGTAGCATATTTAATAAGCGGTTAACTTGCTGTTATATTAGTGGCGTGCTCTGACAATTTTATTGTGGCATTATTTTATTATTAATAACACGCGTATTTAATTTTTTATTGAAAAAATTGATCATAAGGCCAATGCAATAAATCAAATTATGGACTATAATTCTAATAAAGTTGCACACAGGGGAATTTTGAATAAAGATAGGAGCTAATAGAATGCCTTTTTTTGCAAAGTTTTCTTTTACAAGTATTTTATAAAGTTATTCATAGAAGTAAGGACCGGTTTCATTTATTCATATATTTGAATCGTACTTAGAGCTATACTGAAATTAAAATGAAAATATACCATTTAGTGATAGCTCTCGTGACTTCCTGTTGCTGTTATTTAAAAATAATTCTATATATCTATGATGCATGTGTCCTTTGTCCTTTTGCATAGCCTGCAAGATACAAAACCAATAGTTATGATGGATTAATTTTAATTACAATTTAGTATTTTTTTATATAATTTTTATTGAACTAATATTTATTAAACATTATGTCTGACTTAATTCCAAATTACCTGTAACGCCTCGTAATTGCTCGCAAATTCAACGTCTGCTTCACCTGTTGCTCGTCCATTAGGTTCATATTTAATGCTGACATTTATTGGCATAATCGGTTTAAAAAACTAAAAAAATATTAATAGCAAATTATATTTTGATACTTAAACACTATTAACATAGTATGCCTGAATTAATAATCATATCTTTTAACTTTGAAATTCTTAATTATGAAAAATAACTGTATATTTTAAATTTTTGAATATCAAAATATTGATAGTAGTTCAAAATAATTACGTTAATGATATCACTATTTCGAGCTTTGAATGGTAGGCCGCGCATGTGAATAAAGTGCGCCGTGTTATCACCAAAGCCACCACTCATATGTCCTGAAATCCAGGCATGATTTGAATTACCAAGATTAAGTCTGCAATAGATTAATTTATGATGTAGTAACTTAATAAATTATTCGTTCTTTTTCAATCTTTATATAAATAGAACATTTTATTAATTTTGTAAATTTTGTTAACCAGTTTTTGTAGTTATATACTTTATCAGTAACAAATGAATGAATTTTTTTTTTTGAAGAACATTATTATTTCTATATAAAACGCAAAGTTTTATTATATAATTATTTTTATTATATAAGCTGGTAGTACTTTACCTGTCATGCATAATACGTGCCATAGGCGTTATCCTAACTCCTGAAGAAGTTAAATCAATTCTTTCAGCGCTACCTATGCGTGTTGGGCCTGTCAAATCTGCAGGTGTGGAAGAAATTCTACTTGGCAATATTGTCCAATTCTCAAATTCATTATATTCTATAGTCAGCAATATATAAATTTAACGTATTATTAAAAAATAACTTGGGTGACCTTAATATTGGCATTGCTAATGATATTTTGAATTATTGAAACAGTATTACTGATAGTTCCACAGTGTTACTCTCGTAATTAACCATATTATTTATTATGGTTATTGAATCGGTAAGACAAGAAACATTATCTATGATTAATCAAGATATTGTTCCTAGTGTCATTATCCCGTTCCGTATTTTTCAAGTGATTTCCCAGTTAACATCGTGTGACCTGAGCGGCGGTAGCAATCTGAAATCCACAAGCTTGCCTTTAGCTCTGTGATATCTATGTGGAATTTATGTGGATTTCACTTTCCTACCGCCGCACGGTGTTTACTGGGTTTTTACAATTTTGCATAATTGTAAGCATTTATGATGTTAATAATATGTTATAATCATCATGTATACCACCAAATTGTCTCGTTGTTGGCTGCGAGCCTCTGTTAAACCTGCTGACTCTAAAAATTCCAGGGGGCGTGGGCAATGCCCTCTCGCAAGGGGTCATTGCGTAACGAGGTTCCGTGTGGGAAATCAAGGGGTGGCCTATATACTGGCTAGTATATGTCCGATTATCACAAAAGCGACGAACGTCCATGATGGAACTTCGAAATATTTCTATATATCTATGAATGTAATCGATTTTATTTTTTAAATATTTTTATTATTATCCTAGGGACATTATGGTTATGGGAAATGTGAAGTGGTTTTTAATTAAATATTTTAATTAGTTAGAGATGATTTAGTGTATTAATCATGAACTTGATTCTGCTCAATACTAGAATCGTTGAAGCTTATAAAAACATATTATACGAAGTTTAACAATCATTTAACGCTTCTATGGTTTCACAAATTGCTAGATCGTTTTCAATAATATAAAGATTTGAGATAATTTATGTTTGATGCTTAAATGTATTATTTTTGTAAAATAAAACTTTGATTGCCTGTGACCAATTTTTTCGCGATGTTTCTTCAATGCGAGGTCTGCATTTTCTACATTCTTAAATTGTACATACGCTTCGCCGTTGGATCTTCCTGTAGAATCGGTGACCATTGTTACGCCATTCGGAACTATGTCTAAACCTAAGTAAAAGAATGTTTTATATTCAGTTGTGCTATACTTGAAAATACAATTTCTTTACCATCGAAAAATATTGCTACTTCATCCTTTGTGCAATCGAATGGCAATCCACGCAATTTTACCACAGCATCGTTTTTCCAGTCTCTTGAATTTGTCTGTCGCCTTAAGGCCCACTCAAACTCGGATTGCCTTGTCCGAAACACTAGAAAAAATAAACGAATTACATCATCTATATATTTTAATCTTTATTTCCATGACTTTGATATTGATATTCTAATGCTCGAAGGAACCATTAATATCGTTCATTTGAATTATGTTATTAAATTATCAACTTTAATTCACATGTTATTTATTTTATATAACTTATTAAAAAGTGCATTTTGAATTAATGTTTTTGCTAGTATCTAATTTCTGATATTTGGTAAAAAATAGCAAATCCTGTTTTACAATTTCATTACTATTAGTTGTTTTTTGTCGAAATGAGAGTTGATTGTTCTGTTTATCTTCTTCTATAATTCTATTTTACTAATATTTTATTCAATATTATATTTTATAACTGTATTCGGTTGAGCAAAAGTATTATATAAATAGGTCTGATAATTAAATAATCTTTCAAAATATAATATAATAGTGAATTCAAAAATTTAATATTCAAGAGAATGTTGAAAGGAAATAAGCTTCCAAAGTTATCAATAGATAATTTGAATGATGTGGACGACTGTACACATCAGAATCATGGATTTTAGTGTGAACAAAAATTACTTTCATTGATCGGCAATTAATCAATGAGAAAATACTATGAAAAGCGAATGAGAATAGTATTGTTTTGGATTATGAAAGAGAATGGAAACTGGATAACTGCCATATTGAAGAAAAGGCAGCCTGGTACAGGAGCCACCTAATTGTAAAATAGAAGAACTAAAGGGCCAAGAATTAAGAAAAATGCATATGCTTTATATAAAAAAGTAGGAAAATGTAGAGCTGTAGAGCAAAGCACTAATTTAAAAACTGATATTGACGATTTTCTTTGTAAACTATCCTTAGTGTTTACGTCTACGGATGTCTACGTTAGTAACAATTAGGCTGTCTTGTACTATTGACCTTCAATATATCGATTTCCCATGTGATTTCGATCTTTGGCTAATGCTTTTGTGAGATCTTCTGTGCTTGCAAATTCAACGTAAGCTTCCCCAGTGGGTCTGTTGTCTATTGACATAACCAGGTGGATTCCATTAGTTCCCCCTTCAATCTCACAGTCACAAAAAAACTTAGCTATATCCTCTTCTGTAGAACTCCATGGCAGGCCTCTCAATTTGACAATTGAATAATGCAAATTTTCTTCCAATTTCATATTATTATTTGCTACATTTGATTGTTCTTTAGTCGTTTTTTGATCTTGCTGTCTTGACATGATTTAAGAGTTAAAATTTCGGTAGAGAATATACATATAATAGATGTTAACAAATAAATTTTTTTGTTAAAATAAACAATTGTCACGGTGATTTCAAATATCAAACATGAATAAATAAGTCTAATGTCATATGTTATTTTGTAACATATGACATTAGAAGTTTGAGTGTAACTTTTTAATCAGGCTTGCTATTCTTATTCATAATTCTCTTATAATATAATATGATATAAAATAATAGCTGTAAGGGTATTTAATGCAATTTTCATCATGATGCAGTTGTTTATAAAACGGTCATTTTATAGACAGACAGATATATTCGTTAATAATAATTATTAGTTAATAATGATTAAAAATAACATGAAAAAGCATTAATATATATTTATTATTAATAAAAATTAATATTTATAAATATAAAAGTATCTGAATAATATTTTTTGCACATGGAAATTGTAATTAAAGAATATTTTTTCTGTTCCTGATAAATGTGAAAAAAAAACTAAGAGCCTAAATTGAAACTATAAAAGATGTCGATATGCATCAGCTCATTTGAAATTTAAATATATTTTGATATCATTCAATTTTTATATCTATCCATTATGAATATTCTTAGTCAAGAATTGTTTGCTTATTCTTATCCTGAATTTATATAGTCTATTAAATGAATGTCAGTTAATACTAATTTTTAACCTCAATATGTCATTTCAGTAAAATAAACCTTTAAATTTGTTAAACTCACAATTATGTATTATATTTTTTAAACTGAATAAATTAAAAAGTAATAAATAAATGAATTAATAACTAATATAGAGTACGTGTGTTATTCATACACAAAGCCGGCAAAATAGTTATAACTATTCTTTTATCAAATTTCAGTAGTAAATTAAAAAGTAGCTTAGTTTAGGATAATAAATAACTTTTGTAATAACTATTCAAAATACATTACAATTGCATTTTTAAATTGCATTTAATATCATGTCGTCTTCAAGAGGAGCACTTATTGTTTTAGAAGGCTGTGACCGTTCAGGCAAAACTACACAATGTAAAAAATTAGGTATTAAAATGATGAATGTCTTCTTTAACGCTATGGAACTATAAACTTTAATGTATATATTCAATAATGTTATTTATTTGCAGTGGAATATTTACTCTCAAAAAATGTTCCATCGAAGTACATTAACTTTCCGGACAGAAGTACACATATTGGAAAACTTATAAATTCTTATTTATCTTCCAAAGAAGATTTAGATGATCATGTAATTCATTTACTATTTACAGCAAATAGGTAAAGCAATGCAATAATAATTTTGTAGTATTTCTTAATGTTTACAACATAATATTTAGGTGGGAAGCAAACAAGAATATGTTGAATTTACTGAATCAGGGCACAACACTTATTGTTGATAGATATTCTTATTCAGGAGTAGCATTTTCTTCTGCAAAAGGTACTAAATCATGCGAGAATTTGTCATAGTCCTTTTTAATTTTATATATGATATTAATATCCTATAGTTATATTATGAACTATAATTTATAAGAGATATACTTTTATTTATAATAGACAAGTTATTTTATTTTTCAGGTTTAAATCTTGAATGGTGTAAGTCACCTGAAATAGGATTGCCAAAGCCTGATTTAGTATTACTATTAACGATGACTGAAGAAGCAATTGCCAGGAGAAGTGGTTATGGAAATGAAAGGTTAATTATATTTGGTTTGATTATTCTTCCTATGGTTTTTTATTTAATTAGTGAGGGAACAAAAGTTTGTAACATAGTAAATTTGAATGAAAAATTATATTTTTAACTGTTAATTATGAAACAGTTCAATTAAATATTAACAAAATTAATCAACACTAATGAAAATTCTAAATTGGGTAGTTTTTAATTTTTCAATTTAGAGCAATTGCTATAGAAAGTGATTTTATTTCGTTTGGAGTTTATATCTATAAATAATTGAACACATAAGTTATAATTCATAATATTTCAGATATGAAACCCCTGAATTACAAAAGAAAGTAATGAAAAACTTTCAAGATCTAAAACACAAGGATTGTGCAAAGTGGTTAGAAATAAATGCTGATAAGTCGATGGAAGAGTTGCAAGTAGAATTACAAGAAATTGTTATGAATGCAATAATAGAAGCTAAAAATACCGAAGTGAAGAAACTTTGGAATGATAAAGAAACAATAAATGGAATTTGACAATGACTTATTATAGTAAACATTGGTGATGTTGAAAGTTGTGCATTGCATTTCTAAAGGAAAATTTAATAATGCACTGTATATATTTGCACTTTTTGTAATATTTATGAAAGTTTTAAATAAATAATTACTATTTTTGGATCATATGTAAATATATGGCATTTTTTCTAGAAGCATTTAGTATTAGCGGATTCATTAACACTTGAAATGTCTAAAAAAATAGCTTTAAACACTAGCTTATTTTATATATTAGTAAAGATGAATCTCAACAGCAATGTATCTAATTTTTAGTAAAATATAATAGTAATTAAAGTTACAAAATGTTTTCAAATTTAACTGATTTATTTCATGAAACAGAATAATACTTGTAGACTTGTAGATTAATATATTTTAAATCTAGTTATGCTGATTTATAAACAATGTTTCCACATTAGTAAAACATTCAAAATTTGTAAAAAAACTAAGTAAAATTTGATAGTTCAAATTTTTATGGCAGATTTATTCATGTTTGTAGTACATGCACATAGATAATTATGATAATCATACATTCCGCCCTTCGTACAGTAAGCAGACTAATATGATTATATACATCATATACTTTTCTTGTATCTATAAATATGATAATAATAGGCTAATATCCAAGCCAAAATATTAATAGTGGGCTGTTTCACTGCTATATTGTGTAAGGGCATTGTATTATTAGTTGTAAAGTAGGAGAACTTTCTTCTTTATTAACTTCCCGTAGGGTAAGTTAAAGCAATCGCAAAAAAAAACGAACATGAACATTTTTATATATCTTTACGTTTCAAAGGTTTCTGAATATTTTGGCCTACCTTAGAAAAAATAGATGTATGTGTGTGTGTGCGGAAACAAATTTTCGTCGACGATTTCGGGAACACCGATCAACCGATTTGAATAATTCAAAAAACATTCGATTGGTATTGATAAGGAGACGTGCTCATTAGTTTTTGGCAAAGGCAGGTCTATCCGTTCCGAAGATACGGGGCAAAATGTGCCAAAAACGGTAACTCAGTTTTTAAGAGAACGGAACGTCCGATTTTAATAATTCAAAAAACATTTTACTTGTATTGACAAGATGAAAAACTGATAACATTTTTGGGAAAGCAGGTCCGGCGGTTATGAACTCTCAATAAAAATAAGTTAAAAAAATGGCATTTGGCGGTCAGAAATGTTTATTGCACATATGTACATCAAAATATAAGATATTTTATAGACATTTTAATAACGTGTACACATTTTGTGTAAATGTTTTTGGGTTCTGTACCAAGATTTTTAATTACAGTATGGGGAGTTCTAGCCAATATTTATTATATTATTATATTGTCTAGAGTTCCAGGAATTTGCCTTAACGATGCCATGCACCCAACTTGTTTCGGACAACAAATTTTCAAATCAAACCTTCAAATCATTTCAAATCTTTCAAAACCTTTCAAATCATTTCAATCCATGTTATGTATAGTCCATGGTCCAAGCTTCAATTTATGGCGGGTAAACGACGGTTCCCGCCAGTTTCCATGGCAAATTTTCATGCACAAACCGCGTAAACCAACCTTAAAAAATGAAATGTTTTGACATCTTTGTTCATAACCACACATATATAAGAAAACAGTGAAACAGTTGTTGACTTTTGGCACAAAATGCATATGCAATAATATAACTAGCACAATAGAGAATAAATATATTATTATTTGGTTCAATCATGAGTAAAGTTAAAGTGTCTGCAGAATGGAAAAAACGAGTAAAATCGGAATATATGCGAATTCGCCAAATTAAGCGACACAAACGTGCAGATGAGGTTAAAATTGCTTGGAATCAGAATAGGTAAATCAAGACTTGTATAAAGAATCTCTTTAAATGTATATTTGCCCAAATGAGTTCAGTAAAATTTATATATATTTATATATATATATATATGTATTGTGGGGTTGTAGGTTGTAACTGAACATTAGTTATTTGTAACTGATTATATTTATTTTGTATATTAACTTTATAAATTTTTGCTAACTTGTGTTTTGCAAATACAATATACTCAGATATTCAGATATATTTATACAAACTACAAATATTTATTCATTAATACATAATTGCTTTTGACAAATTACTAGCTAAGATAATGTTTATATTTTTTATAACATTTAGAAATCGATCCGTTGATATACTGCTGGAAGAAGAAAGAAGATGGACGTCTAGTCCAGCTGTTTGGAAGGTTGAGGAGCCACAACCAAATCATGTATCTTGCATGAAAAAGGCAGAAGTAGTCAGTTTGGATGGTATGTCTTCAATATATTTGACAATTTCTAATTTTAACTCCAGACACTGTTTTTAATTGAGTATCTTTAGATTGATTTAAAGTACTCTTAATAAAATATTAAACATGATTTGTATCTTATAGTTGAATATTGGCCACTGCTTGAATTTTGTAAAAATTATGTTAATTAATTGTGAATTATTGATAATACAATATATTAGAAATTTATTTAGTGTGAAATTCATTCGAAATATTTGTGAATGAATAAATAATAATCTTATAAAATTATATTTAAAATAGGCGAAACTCAATCAACATTTATTAGAGTGATATCAGCTGTAACACCAATCCCAACTATGTACACTTGGGCACCCACACAACAGAATTTTATGGTTGAAGATGAAACTGTTCTCCACAATATTCCATATATGGGAGATGAAGTTTTAGACCAAGATGGAACTTTCATTGAAGAATTGATCAAAAATTATGATGGAAAAGTACATGGTTAGTAATTATTTTTACAGTTTAGAAGTACTATAATAATCTAAATAAAAAAAACTGAGAACTCGTAAGACTTCTATTTCTGTAATTTTATTTGTTTTTCATATTTATTTTATTAGATGATATATTGTGAATTATATGAACACATTATTAATATTTTTTTCGTGTAACTCATGTACATGTTTTGCATCCTGCAGGTGATAAAGAAGGAGGTTTTATTGATGATTCAATCTTTGTTGAGTTAGTTCAGGCTTTGATGACTTATACAATTCTGAACAAAGATGATTCAAAAGTGGAGTCTGGAAGGGAATTAAGGCATTCAAAGGATTCCAAAGATAAGATAAAATCTACTAATGTTATAATCGAAGAAAAAAATAAACTTTCTGATACTTCAAATGATGAATCTAAACCAAATGACGAAGAACACAAAAAGGAATCTAATGATGAAATAAGGTACTTTTGATTTTATGTTGATATATTACTTATATTTGTCAATAGAAAATTAATATTTTAACACAATATTTTTGTTACAGACGAAGCTCTGTCGAAAATCGAATAAAAACAGAGGATGAAGATGTTGAAATTATTGAAATTGTAGATGAACCAGAGAATGAAATTAAAAATGAAGAAAAATCAGTGAAACCATTTCCAAATTTTATGATATTTCAAGCAATCAGCAGTCAGTTTCCTGATAAAGGAACTGCAGAAGAACTAAAAGAAAAGTATGTTTTCATTTACTACATAAATATATTATTATTTTATTTTGTAAATTGATATTTTTTTTTTGGATGGTAAATTTATTATTTATTATCATATATATATATATATATATATATATATATATATATATATATATAAATTTCAAGGATTTGCTCTTATAATATTACAAATTTGTGTTTAATATTATTATAGGTATATAGAACTAACAGAACAAGTTGACCCAGATGCAAATCCTCCTGAATGTACACCAAACATTGATGGGATTCGGGCTGAAAATGTTCCGCGAGAGCAAACATTGCATTCTTTCCATACATTATTCTGTAGAAGATGCTTTAAATACGATTGTTTTCTTCATCGTAAGTAAATATATTTTTTTATTTGAAATTTTATATAGTAAAATATATATACATATAATAACAAATATGTACATATGATGTATGTATAAATACATGTGAATGTACATGAACCCAATTTAGTAATGGTATGATTTTTTATAATGTTGTTTTCCTTTAATGCACCCATTCTTTGCATCAAAGGTGGTCAATTTGCAGGTGAGATATTTTCTGCAAACCTCATCAAAATAAAATTTAAACATATATTTTACTGATAATTATAATATTTTCAAACCTGAATTAATAAGCTTCATGTACTGGTGATAAATTATAATATTCAACTGTATTACAGGATTACAAGCTTGTCATCCTGTTCCCAATTTACAAAAGCGAAAATTTGCAGATCTGAAACCTTTTACAGAACCTTGCAGTGAACACTGTTACATGCTGTTGGTAAGTTAATAACAATATAAAATTTTGAAATAAATATTGATAAAGAAACATAGAAGCCTTATTTTTATATCTTGTTTTTGCAATAATTAAATTGCATGTTTGTTTTTTTCTTCTAACTCACAAATAATGACCTACAATTTATTTTAAAATAATTTAAAGGATGGTATGCGAGAAAAAATAGAAGCTGATATAAAGATCAATAGTGACAAGCAAAAAGAACTAGCCAAAGAAAAGCTACCGCAAGACTCAGGCAATGAAGCTAGTTCAGAAGACAGCAATGATAGCAGTCGCTTTAGCAGAGGTAATTTTTTTAGTTGTAATTGACATTAAAGACAGTGAACTTATGTTCAATATATTTTTCACTGTAATGTGAAATTTAATTTAACCTTTTATTAAAACAACCATTATTGAATCAAATCGGTGTGTTTTTATTTATAACCTCAAAGTGGTTATTCTTTACTGTTATACAAAGTTTGTTTTTAAGTTTTAAACTTTCTATTTTAGAAATATTTTATATTATTGTAATACTCACTTTGATTGATTACTGCTTTGTAGATTTCCAGAATGTGAATGGACAGAATTTATCTAATGAGCAAACTGCATTAGCACCATTGCCAATGTCAAGTATGTCAATAATATGTTTAAATCTTGATGCAATATGATGAAAGATTTTTTTTTACTAATAAACCACACTTTATAGGTTTGCAAGGTCGCACTGATATTGAATGGACTGGGGCAGATCAATCACTTTTCCGTAGTTTGCATAAAGTTCTACTAAAAAATTATTGTGCTATTGCACAAATAATGCTGACAAAAACTTGCCAACAGGTAATTGATTGATGAACATTTTAATTATTATGAACAATATCTTTAAAGCCTTCTTTTTAAAAGGTTTATTACTTTTCACAAAAAGAAGCAGAAGATATTCCGACTTTGGAAGCTATTAGAGACTTCACACCACCAAGGAAGAAGAAGAAGAAGCATAGATTATGGTATTTCAGAATAATTAAAAATATCATAATGTATATTTATATAAGTGTGTGTATTCAATAATATAGAATTATTTTTAAATTATAGGTCTGTTCATTGTCGGAAAATTCAATTAAAAAAAGATTCTTCTTCAAATCACGTTTATAACTTTTCACCTTGTGATCATCCTAACAAACCGTGTGATAGTAATTGTCCTTGTATTGGAGCTCAGAATTTCTGTGAAAAGTTTTGTCAATGCAGCTCTGATTGTAAGTTTACTAGCTTTTAGATGCTTTTTATATTCTTGCTTTGGTTATTTATGTACTGGAGAATGTGATATTTCTTTGAAAAATATTGTTTTTAACTAAATGTGAAGTAATGAATAGTATAAGTATTTGTTATTTAATTATTTTTTGCATAATAGCATATTAATTTTTCTAAATACTATAACTTCATTGTTGTTGTAGGCCAGAATCGTTTTCCAGGATGTCGATGTAAAGCACAGTGTAATACAAAGCAATGCCCTTGTTATTTGGCTGTGCGTGAATGTGATCCCGATCTTTGTCAAACATGTGGTGCTGATCAGTTTAATTTAACTAGGATTACATGTAAAAATGTTAGTGTGCAGAGGGGATTACGTAAGTTTTTTGCATTATCTTTTCTTTTTAATAGACTCAACTTAGTCAGATTTTCATTATTCACTTAAATTTAATAGTATTTGTATTACATTTATTATTATAATACTTTTAAATTTCATCAGTAGTATAATTGTATTACTTATTTATTCCATTCAGATAAACATTTACTAATGGCACCATCAGATGTAGCCGGCTGGGGAATTTTCTTGAAAGAAAGTGCTCAAAAGAATGAGTTTATCTCTGAGTACTGTGGTGAAATAATTTCTCAAGATGAGGCTGACCGTAGAGGAAAAGTTTATGATAAATATATGTGCAGTTTCTTATTTAATTTAAATAATGGTAAACTTAACTAAGTGAAGTTTTTATTATTTCTTTATTTATTATTATAAACTTATTATTTTATAATAATTTGATTCTTAAAATTATTGATATTCAATACATGAGTCAAATAATAAATCAAACTCATATGCCATGTCATAAGAATTTTCTACCAAGCATGTGTTATATAACGGAGGATACCTTTTGATATACATTTTTTTTTTTTTAGATTTTGTGGTAGATGCTACAAGAAAAGGAAACAAAATAAGATTTGCAAATCATTCTATAAACCCTAATTGCTATGCAAAGGTATGTTAGGTTAGGTAACATGCAATACTTCAATAAAAATTCTGTGACAATTAGGATCATGAATTAATTTTAGGTAATGATGGTCAATGGTGATCATCGTATTGGGATATTTGCTAAACGAGCAATTCAACCTGGTGAAGAATTATTTTTTGACTATAGATATGGACCAACAGAACAGCTTAAATTTGTGGGTATTGAAAGAGAAATGGAGTTTCTTTAAATTCCATTTAGTATTATTTCATGAAGCAGACAATACTTTTTATCATATATTTTGCTCAGCTGGTGGTAAGTTTAGATGTATTTTTTTACATTTCTTATATTAAGATAAAAAATTGCTAATATTTATTTAATTTTAAAAGTAATCTTATTAATATAAAAATGGATCACATAATCCCTTACAAGAATATGTACATAATTTCATTCAAAATTGTAAATATTTAATTAATTTATTGGATAAATAATTGAACCTCGGCTAATTATAAATTGTAAATTTGTTTAAATTAATTTTGAATATGTTTTATCCTTCATATATGTATTAAAAGATATGCACACAGTGTATATGTTTTGAACATATACACACACACGCACACACACACACATAAATATATGCTTGCATGTATATGCATATTAATGTAGAGTAAGATAGTTTTGTTATTTACTTCATTTTAATACATTTTTGATAAATGAATTTAAATATTATTTATTCAAGATTTCAGCAATATTCCCAAATGTTTTGTTTTCGGATTTATGTGCCGACATAAAAGTTCTGAAAATACCTTGAATTTATCATGAAGTTTCCAAAATTTTCATTGCTTTATGTATTTTTACACATATATGCGTTTAGGATCGATTTCGAACAAATACTAAATTTGTGTTTGCAAACCCATTGGTTGTAATTAAGTCATTACAGCAGTTTTGAAGTTACATATCATATTAACTCAAATGGTTTTAACCAGCGGGCTTATAATTTAAATAGTGCGAAAATTAAAATCTTTTCAATATTTCAACATTATTCATATTGCAAAATTGATAAATGTTTTTTATTATTAATTTTTTTTAAATTCATCATGTTTAAAAGTTTTAACAACTTTTTAAAAATATAAATTAACTATTTTCTACTTTAACACAAGAACAATTCAGCCAGGAGAAAATTTATGTTGACCACCAACATGAACATATCCTTGAATTTTTAGAAATTGCATAATAATAGCAGATAACAAGAAGAATAATAATTCATGTAATCGTGGTTTTGGTTATTTTCATTCATACTGAAAATTTATTGTTGAAAATTTTATTTTTAAATATAGAAATGTAACATAAACAAATAATTTATTACAAAAATGTACATTTATATATAAATTGTTATTAAATTCTATAAAGGTATATATACACTGCTTTATATAAAATTTGGAAAATATCAACATGAGTATAAATTTCCACTTACATTATACATTTATTCCATTCACATTTATAATTACTTATTTATAAGTATAAATATTATTATGATAATTCTATATTTAAATTTTACTAAAATTAGTTTATTTCAATTTTCTTAAAACATTTAAATTAATTTAGCTTAAATATCTTTATCACAATATATTAATGATCTCTAAAAACATATGTATGAATAGATAAATGTAAATATTATTATACGTATGATTCATCACTAGAAAACCAGCATATCTTTAATTGCTCCAATTATCTTGAGTTCATTTTGGCCAATGAATTTTTCAAAATATGAAACGGTATTATTTCAGTACTATAATTATTAATCTATGAATTATGTTTTGTGTCTGTTAACATAGTTTGTTTAGTATTAAAATCTACATAGAAATATTTAAAATGGCGTATCGTATATTATTTATTTGTTCAATGAGTGTATGGAATGGTATTTATCTAAAAATTGTTACATACAATAATGATCAAAACTTGTCAATCAATTCTTCGTGCATACTTGTTAAAAAAAAATCAGTTTATTTGCACTAACTCAATAAAGCATTTTGAATTATCGAAGTTTCCGTTATGTTTCCAATAAATTAAATTCAAGAATTTGCAGAAAAGTATTCAAAATATTTATAATTTCTAAGCATTTTTGTTCATAAATAATTTGGTTCCAGAATGCCATAGCATTCAATAACTATTTCAATCAATTGTGTTATTACGTATCCAATTCAAGTACTGTGAAACTCTGGTGTACACTCCCGGATATCCTGGTTCGCCGCATTTGTTTCCGAAGGAGACGACTCCGATTTGCGTCCATCGACTTCCCCATCGCATCATCAGTGGCCCACCACTGTCGCCCTGGAGAAAAAATTAATTATATTGTTAAATTTTCAAAACTATCTCATAATAATGACACTTAAATTCGATACATGTACCCATTTTGTTTTCACTGCTTTTTAGTATGTTACGGTTAAGGTTACTTTCCAGTAATTCCAGATTCGGAAATGGCGCAATTTGTTTTTTTATTGTAAAATATTTAAACAGCGTGAAGTATAATTATTGAAAAAATAATCACAAATCGTGTAATCATTTTAAAATTATTTCGAAATCTAAAAAAATTGTTTAAAAATTCATTATGCAAATATTTTTAAAATATTTTATAATTTAACAAAATTGTTTATTTCTTATGAATTAATCTTTTTTTTATTTTAGCATCTAGTGGCAGTGAAATATGTTTATGGGTTTTAATAAAGCTTCTCATTACAACGCGACTATTTTAATATTTGATCTAATCGTAAAAATGCAACAATATTTCACAATTTTATAAAGTTGTAATTTTCATAGCTTATTTATTACCTGACAGGCATCAACACCACCTTCTGAGTACCCAGCACAAACAAAATTTTCAGTTATAGGTTGGAAGTAAGCGCGATCACAATCACTGTTTCTCCAAACGGGTAAAAGCGCTTGGCGCTGCCTTGTGCTTTCTTTCCCACCATAGTATGTAGTACCCCAGCCGACCACGGTTGCCCTTCGTCCAGCCAAACGGTCACGAGCTTGAGCATCTTGTCTGGGGAACATGTTAGAACTTAAAAATACATAATAAGTAAAGAATATGACATAAATTGTTATCACGGAAGCTGTTTTTGTGAAAGAGACAAAGGACGCCTAATACGAAATCAATTAAATTAAATAAGTTTGAATAAAATAATTTTATTCTAAATGAATTGATAATTGTAAAGAATCGTAGTTTTTCTTAGATATCGGAGTTATAGTATTTTCTTATATTAGTCAATCAAATTTTAACTTCAAAACGCCAGCATTAAACTTACCTAGGCGGCAAGCAAAGAGGAATAATATATCTGGATTTTCTCACTTGGCTGTCGAGTACTAAAATTGCAATATCATTATAGAATCCAGCTCTAGAAAAGCGCTGATGAGCTCGTACTTCTTTCACCCGATATGTTGCGGGACTGCTAGGCTCTTCATCATCTTCTAAGTCTATATCTCCAAGACGTACTGTAAATTGCCTTGCTGCAAAACTATTATTAGGTAATAAATTGTAATTAATTTTTGGGAATTTATTTATTCTATCTAGTCAAAATAAAATAATTTTTATTGTGCTTTTTTATGTCAATCATTTAATCAGAGATATGAAACCCAGGAAAAAACAATTATGTGACTCATTTCGCACCTTAATTTGTTTATAAATTCATGTAATTTTAATGTCATAAATGATTAAATAATTCATACAAAAAATTATCGTAAACATGTAATCTTTTGCTATTTAATCACTACATAAAAAATATTATTTACTCACGGCTTTTGCCTCGAGTCTCTAGTACAATGCGCAGCAGTTAAGATATATTTTGTTCCAATGAGTGAACCACCGCACCAAAATTCTGTGCGTTTGGGTCCATGAAGGAATATGGCAGCCATCCAGGGCCAGCTTCCAGATCGGGCTTCTTGTCCACCAACAACACGACCACTTTCATCTTCAGTTTCGCCGCACTCTGGTAAAAATGATTAGGTCAATTTGAGTATGTATGTCTTAGCACAGGTTAGCTTATTTTAATGCAATGCTTGCTGTTTCTATCAATATACTTACCATCTGGATTAACAATGAGCTGATTCAATGGTTCATCAATTGGATTTTCAGATTCCAAAGAACTATCTTCCGTCGTAGTCGATGCGGTTGTTGTTGTTTTAGGTCTTCTGGTGGAAGTTATGGGTCGAGAAGTTGTAGTTAGCACTACTGGAGGCCTGGCTGTTAGGCGAGTCGGTTTTTGCGTCGTCAACACTGTTAATTGCAAATCACCATTCTGCTGCAAGAATAGAAAACAGATTTGAAACTAAATTGTATTTAAAATTATTAATGTAATGTCTGAAATGCAGAAAGGAATGTGATATGTAATATTTACGTTGATAAATTCAAAAATTTAGTTCATACCTGATTATTACTGTCATCTACAGGACAACAGACACCAGGTACGAATAAGCTTTTGAAGCACAAACTTTGCCGAAGCGCAGCAAGGTCCAAAAGTAGTCTCGGGCAGTTGCTAAGATCATCGCATCTACCGCGACCTCCCGCTGGTGTTGTGCACGCACGAGCATTGATATCGGAATTTGTAACCTTGCCACCAGGACGTTGTTTAGCCGAACCTGTTATGAAGTTAATATTCGAGGGAGATTCGCCGCGCACAAATGGTGCTATTGATTCAGTGACATTTCTACCTGCAAAATTATATGATAAAAAGAAAATGTTTAAGATAAAACAACATTACTTTAATATTCGATACAATAACGGAAAATATTTAGTTAGCAAACACGCGTTTCACTAAGTGTATACACTACGTTGTTAGTTTACCATTAATTCCGCATTATAGAAATACGTATCATGTAGATTTTATTCATATAAATAAATTACCCAAAACATTTTTGCTTATTGTTAGAAGAGCACCAGGAACATCTTCTTGTATGTCTTGTTCCTGGCTAATATCTTTTCTGTCATGCCTTGTCATGTTCACCAAATATCGACCAACCGTGTTTATTGCTCCAAGAGTTTCAGAAATTGCATTTAATGCAGAACCACTTAAGTACCTTTAAAAAAATTAAAATAGTATTCAATTTGAATATATTTATATTTTTTATGTTTTGTACCTGCCACTTTCTGTACTTTCTTCAGAAGAAGAAAATTTTTCTTCTTCCCCAGAACTGCTTAGAGCTCGGTTATGAATTATTATTTCGTCGGAAGTTTTTGTTTCTGGCAATACTCTAAAATAAACCCAAAATAGTATATATATATATATATATATATATAATATATATATTTATTAAATTCCCGTAATATCGAAATTATTTTTTTTTTGCATTTGTTCACGTTTTTAAGTTTTCTGAACATTATGGCATACTTCAGAAAAAATCGTCATGTGTGTGTGTGTATGTACGTATGAATACAATTTTTCGTCCACGTTTTCGAGCGTACGGATCAACCGACTTGAATGGTTAAAAAAACATTTGATTCCTATTGATAGGGAGATGTGCTGATTAGTTTTTGGCATCAGTCGGTCCAGCCGTTTCAGAGATACGGAGCAAAATGTGCAAAAAAATTTTTTTTTCATTGGCATGCCGAAGACAGGTCCAGTCTGTTTTAATGGTTTATTCACCTATGGTCTGTTTTAATGGTTTATCCAGCCGTTTCGGAGTTACGGAGGAAAATGTGCAAAAATGGCAGATTTTGAAAGAAATAAGCATTCGATTTGGATGATTCAAAAAACTTTCTGTTTGTGCACATGTTGACAAAAAGATTTTGGAAAAAAATTTTGAACATCGAAAATAGCTCAAATTTTCAAAATTTTAATTCGGTACGGGATGTTCAGCAAATTGCCTCAAGGCACGATGCCATGCAGCACTATTTTATTTATTTATTTATATGTGTATCAAATGTATATTTGTGTTTGTTCCTGATGGTTTGGTATGCATTGATACATTTTTTATATTTTGAATGATGACACACATACAGTGTCGAAACGTAAGTAATAATAATAGTTAATTATTGATTGCTTTTTATTTTGACTATTTATCGGCAAATAAACATTTCAATAATATATGTTTCAACGACGAATAAACATAAATCTAAAGAATGCAATATATAAATATTATATGAATATTTAATACATTTCATTCAATAATAATCACGATATGCAATAAATTAAATTATTGGAAATTCAATAATAATTAAAAAATGTTAAAGATTTGGATTTCTCGATCTACTTTTATTTAGATGCCTTGGTACATCTTTATGCTTATTTATCTATGGCCTCGGTGCATCTTTCTAATTTTAATTTTTGACAGGTTATGTTTTTTAATGTTGGTTCGCATGCTCTCAATGAGTTGGCACCCCAGAACATGTGCCTATGGCGCATATTTGATCGTTCAACTGCCATATCTATCAAATGGCACAAATGTCAAAACAACATTTTCGCAATCTCACGTGTATTGTGTATTGTATATAAGTGCAACGCCAAAATAGAAGCTATTATTTTGAACTGCTTAATGTTATTCCATGTAAAATAAAACATTAACCGAGAATTGCCACTGCAGTTGTCATAACATTTTGAAAACCGTAAGCTGTGAAACAGAGAATTTACACATACATCAAGTCATAATGCTAAATCCAAAAAAGGTATTGTTGCGCGTATCAATCAAATTTAAAACCGAATATAATTAAATAAAAAGAAAACTGGAGTTATCCAGATATGTTTAACATTATTTTTTTATCAATGTGTTTAAATTTTTACCTGAATTCTATTTTAGGTGGTCCACCATCTTCAAACATTTGGTCAATACCAAATTGGTTGTCAACGTAATGCATAATATCTTTACGCGAGCCAGGATTCGTCATTCGCTGAAATCTGCCAGACCCGGTAAGTACTCTATTTTCCTTCATATCAGATTTTGTATTGAAAACATGGTCAGGAAATTCTTGATTAGCCCACTGAGGCATGTCTATTGGGGAATATATCGGAGAAAAACCGAACGCCGTTCGATGATCCCCAAATCTTCGAAATCGCTGCAATGGAACAACTGTGTTTTAATTATATGACTGAGTCTTTTCATAATTTGTGTTACAATACTAATTTAATTATACATGTCAACTACTGAGTAGATGTAACTCATTTGAAATGAACTACTTTGAGCACTTTGACACTTCATTCTCATGTTCCATTACTTAATGTAACTAGTTGGTTTGGTATTTAGCCTTGAGGCAAATTACATGAACTTCCCGATATGTGTAAATAATCGACTTCATCAAAAAAATGTGTAAATAATATACTTCATCAATCCTACTTTAAAAAAAACGATAATAATTTTAGCAAAGTTTGACGAATTTTCAAAATTAAACTACTTGTTGTAAGGCCGTAATATTACAGTAAGTTCTATAACACCATGATGTATATCGCCAAAAAAAGTTCCATGAAAAACGGCTTAAATTTTTTTTTAACAGTTAATTACAAGAAAACGGCTCGGTAGATTTTCACCTAAAATTAATCAGTACCATTCCCAACTAATATCTTTCGAACAGTTTTTGATTTTTCAAAATCGGTTCGGTAGGATGAGCTTAAATGTGGACGAAAATTTAACACTTTTTTTCAACGGTTAATTAAAAGAAAACGGCTCGGTAGATTTTCACCTAAAATTAATCAGCATCATTCCCAAATGATATCTTTCGAACAGTTTTTGATTTTTTAAAATCGGTTCGGTAGGATGAGCTTAAATGTGGACGAAAATTTAACACTTTTTTTCAACAGTTAATTAAAAGAAAACGGCTCGGTAGATTTTCACCTAAAATTAATCAGCATCATTCCCAAATGATATCTTTCGAACAGTTTTTGATTTTTTAAAATCGGTTCGGTAGGATGAGCTTAAATGTGGACGAAAATTTAACACTTTTTTTCAACAGTAAATTACAAGAAAACGGCTCGGTAGATTTTCACCTAAAATTAATCAGCATCATTCCCAAATGATATCTTTCGAACAGTTTTTGATATTTCAAAATCGGTTCGGTAGGATGAGCTTAAATGTGGACGAAAATTTAACACTTTTTTTCAACAGTTAATTACAAGAAAACGGCTCGGTAGATTCTCACCTAAAATTAATCAGCATCATTCCCTATTGATATCTTTCGAACAGTTTTTGATTTTTCAAAATCGGTTCGGTAGGATGAGCTTAAATGTGGACGAAAATTTAACACTTTTTTTCAACAGTTAATTACAAGAAAACGGCTCGGTAGATTTTCACCTAAAATTAATCAGCATCATTCCCAAATGATATCTTTCGAACAGTTTTGGATTTTTTAAAATCGGTTCGGTAGGATGAGCTTAAATGTGGACGAAAATTTAACACTTTTTTTCAACAGTTAATTACAAGAAAACGGCTCGGTAGATTTTCACCTAAAATTAATCAGCATCATTCCCAACTAATATCTTTCGAACAGTTTTTGATTTTTTAAAATCGGTTCGGTAGAATGAGCTTAAATGTGGACGAAAAGTTCAACACTTTTTTTCAAATTACGAAGAAACGGCTTGGCAGATCGTTGCACAAAACTGACAAACGATAGTCCTCACCGAAATACATCAAATGGCTTTTAAATTTCTAAAATCGGTTCAGGCGTTTTTGAGAAAACGTCGATCAAAAGTCTAATTTTGACAAATGCCAAAAAGTCCATACTGATTTTTGCAAACTTTGACGAATTTTTAAAGCTGAACCAGTTGTCGTAGGGCCGTAATATTTTAGTATGACCTAGAAAACTATGGTATCTTTCGTCAAAAAAATAATCATAAAAATCGCCAAAATTTTTTTTTAAAAAACTTTATTACAAGAAAACGGCCCGGCCGATCTTTACCAAAAACTAATCAGCACGATTTCCAACCAATATCTATCGAACGGTTTTTGAATTTTCAGAATCGATTCAGAATTGCGGGCTAAAACGTGGACGAAAAATTTTTCACTTTTCTGCAATTTACAAAGAAACGGCCCGGCCGATCGCCGCACAAAACTCAGAGACGATAGTCCTCATCGAGATACATCAAATGGCTTTTAAATTATTGAAATCGGTCCAACCGTTTTGGAGAAAACGTCGATTTACGGCAAAAAATCTGTTCACACACACACACACACATACACACACACACACACACACACACACACACATACTTTTTCCAAATTTGGTCTCATTCGATTCAAAATGGCTCGAAACGTCGAGAAAACATAAAATTAGCGATTCGGATTTTTTGATGAAAACATAAACTTCTCCTTCGGGAAGTTAAATATTGATTTGTAATATTTAATGTTACTAAAATATATTGAATAACTTATAATTAAATTACTTGCAAAAAAAGGGATTGTAAGAAAAGATTGATATATTCTTGGAGCAGTTTATCGGTCGTTTTGTTTTAGAAAACAATGGTTCAAAATTACATAAAATAAAATCAAGTTATGACTCTGATGAGCCACAAAATTGCAACTAGCTGACTACTTATGCCATAGATAAGGAATATGACATAATGTATTCTTTTTGTGTCTTGTGACATTGGGAAAACATGTAGCTCGTCATTTTCTAGATGTTTCTCTATATTGAAGATCTAACATTAACAGTATGGATACTCGGATACTCGTGTTTATCAGCATTATGAATAACACCAAAATCTATTTCATTAATCTCAATTTCTGTCAATATTGATTGATCAAGTAATGGTATCAATTGCATTTTTCTTCAACATTTAACCATTTTTTAAACTATATGAACTTAACTACACTTGTTTCTGGCCGAATTGTTTCCTATTTATCAGCAGTTTTTAAAATAATATAATAATAATAATATAATAATACCAGATGGAATTATTCCAAATTCGAAATTCCATTTAAACTCTGTGTTAGATATAGAATTTTTTATCTATATAAGTCATTGATATTACTGATATATTTTAGTAATTCTTAATTTCTTAAAGGAGAAATTTTTACTAGAAAAAGCGAATTGCTAATTTTGTTTTCTCGATGTTGCAAGCCATTCTCAATTGTTCAAAACTAAATTTGGAAAAAGTGTGGGTGTGTGATTTTATATCTATTGTCTAAACCAGTGATTCCCAACCTTTTTTGGGCCCCGCCCCACCTCAGGGTTTAAAGAAACGTTATGCCCCCCCCCCATACAATTTTTTTTGTTCTTGAAAAAATATGAATGCTAACTTTTAAGATGAAATCGCAATTAAATTGTTATTAAACATCATAAGTAAAATTTCGGAATAAGCCATAAAAGCGGAACCTTCAAACTAATTTAATTTTATTACTGAGTTTTAAACCTAAGTCTCCACGTTGTGTTATTTCAAGTCTACTTCTTTTTTATAAATAAATTATAGCAATTTTTTGTACTTATGATTACTTTTGGTTTCAGTTTTTTCATGAAGCTATTTCTGCTTAGCTAGTTAATATTTTCTTAACTAGGAACGGAATTATATCTATTTTTTATATATCTTTTTTGCTAAATCTTTTTTCTTTTAACTGGAAATGAAATTTGTAGTTATCAGGTTGGCAACTAAGTACGCATTTTATTTTTATTATTAATAATAATTAATATTAATATTAGAAATTGGTAGTTATAGTTGGCAACTAAATAAGTGCGCATTTTTGTTATAAAATCGAAGACAATTTTTGTGTGGAATTAAAAAAAAACTTTGTTCTGTATACCATTTTGATCGATGACCTTTTGTTATCTTCCAAGAAGCATCATTGTCCCAAGTTTATAAAACTTCTAGTTTTTATTATCAAAAACTGACTTATGCACAATTTGGCACGATATTTTTTTAAAATTCTTTCAAATTTAAAGAGTTTTAATCTGATGGTTTGTGATCAGGAATATTCGGTGGATGTGGAATTTTTTTTAGACCAAACCCCAATAATTTTTAAACAAAGTCAAATTGTTTCTATTAGCCGAATCGATTATTTCTTTAATTGGGTTGTCCGAAACTTTAACTGGGCAATCAGAGCAGCATTGAGTGAAAAAACACCAGAATGACATTTTCCTAACCAATTTCTTTTGTGGCTTTTATGATACCATAAACAGCACCTAACCTTTGGGAGAATCGTTTTTCCTTTTGTAGAAATAAAAATGCAAACTATGATTAAAATGCTTGTTTTGATATTCCATCTGTCAACGAACGCTAAACGAAAACTACATGATCCATCAACAAAGTATTTTCAACTAATTGAATTGAATTTCTTACTATACAATATGTGTATACACAAACACAAATGTGTTTTACATCTAGACTACCTCAACAAACCTCAATAATCATTTGAAGTAAACGAACATAAGAGTAAGAGCCGCACTTAGTGCCAATAAACCTTGTACTATTTAAGGATACAATAAAAATTAGTTCGTTTTGAATTAATTCCATCTGTAGTATCTGTAGTTACTGACAGTGAGTAAAAATATTGACCTAATTTAATATCATAAAATCAGGGAGGGGTATAGTCATATATCATGTGTATTTATTTTACACCAATTTTTACACGAAGCGGATCATGTCCGACTGGAGTCATATCCGAGCGGAGTCATATCCGACCGGAGTCATATCCGAGCCGAGTCATATCCCGATGAGTTATATCCGGACGGAATCATATCCAGACGGAGTCATATCCGGGTGGAGTTATATCCGAGCGGAGTCATCACCGGGCGGAGTTATATCCGGGCGGAGTCATATCCGACCGGAGTTATTTCCGGCTGGAGTCATATCCGGCTGGAGTCATATCCGGCTGGAGTCATATCCGGCTGGAGTCATA